TGATATCCATATATAACCACAATAGCTATTGCATATATAATTTTGAGATTTGTTTTTTATAAATAGCAAATATAATATACATAATAAGGTTCCATAGCTATAGTTTCGATAATTGCGCTCCATAGTTATAGTTTTGTTTGCTATGGAGGTAGTAGTTTGATATTTCTACCTGTTTGTATATTTCGCTAGCTAGTATACAAATAGGGTGAGTATATACAAATTTTGTATTTATACATTTAGGGATTTTTTAGAAATCCGTTTTTATATTTCACTTGCCAATATACAAACGTGGTAATATATCATGAATCTTTCATATATCATACAAATAGCTAAGGTACGCATATACAAAATTCTGAATTTATATAATCAGGACCGAATATGAAATTCAGGGTTTATACAAATCAGGCGAATAGCAAAAATTAGAGAAACTGTAGCCTCAAATTACAATTTTCTTAAACTGTAGCTATAATACCTAATATAGACAAAATGTTTGTTATTATGCATAATTTTCCCTAATTTTGATCGATGATTAGGTGTAGTAATTAAAGCCCAAAAATTTGGCGAGCTATATCTAACTATACAAACAACAAATTAATTTGAAATTCCGTACTCTTTTCTTCGTTTCATGCTTTAAAACATGTATCCCTTCAAAATATTAACGCAACGGAGATTTAATTTGGGGATTTTGGATTCAATAATTACAAAGATTTCCTCAAGAGAAAATTACAAAATTTAAATCTTTGTTCAAATTATTAAATTTATACATTTATGATATGTTTGTGATATTGAATTTTATAGAAAACATCTGTAAAAGTTTGAATATAATTTTTGGAGTTGCTTGGAGTTAATTTGAGTTGTATTTCAAATTGAAAATTTGAGGTTTAATATGATTTCTTATGTGTGTATCTCCACTATACACGTGTATATCAATGTATATATGCTTATCTCTTGTTATATGTGTATATCTATAAAATCTATGTGTGATACACTAATATAATGTGATATACACAAGTCACAATATAGCCCACTGCCTTTTCGTTTCTGTTTTGTCTTCATCTTCCCGCCATTAATGGCTTCTTCCTTATTTCTTTTCCTTATTCTTCAAAGCTCGACTTTAAAAATCAATGTGCCATAAATCTGAATCGTTTTAAGTCAATATTACATCAACATATTTAAATTTTGTCCTGTATAATTATATTTAATTTAAAAAGGAGGAAACTAAAAGACAAATTAATTCATTTGCACAAATTAGACCGTTGGATTGATATGGTTGCGTCTTTGTCGGTTGGAACCAAATCTTTCTTTCTTCTATTTAGCTAAGAATTTAAATTATATATATTGACGATATAAATATTATTTAATTGTATTATTTATAAAAAAAAATTATATGTATAAATTAATAATAGGATAAATATAATGAATTAAAGTAGCTGTTTATTTAATTTTCATATATTATATTTAGCTCATGGTAAAGAGATCCGAAAGAAGACAAGTTATTTCTCCTATTCCATTGAGCTCTACATTGTTCATATTTTATAATAATAAAATAATACTCAACTAATCAATTATCACATGTTAAAATTTAATGAAAAGTTATTATATTTTTTCGTTATTAATAATATTTGTAAAGTATAAGTTATTGAAGTACATAATATAAAATGACTTCTATAAAAAATATGTCTTTATTAGATAACTTCATCTAGTTGAATGATCAATAAAGTAATGTCGATATATTTTTGAATGAGTTTGGCTTAATTTTAGTTTTTGGCTTAATTTTTTTTATTTAAATGCAAAAAAATTATTTTAACTAAAAAGCATTTAAAATAAGTTAACCCAAAAGGGTTTTGAATACGCACTATCATTGTTCGAAAGTATTACATATCATATTCCTCTAATTTTGATCACTTCATTCGATTCTTATTCAAAATATCAATATTTTCTAATGAATTTTAAATTAAATGAATAGCTATTGTTTACTTTAACTTGTTCATCTTTATAATTATAGAGTTCCAATTTTATGTACAAATGGTGTAAATTATATTTATATTATAATAAAATAACTAACAAAAATTAAACCTCTTAACATAATCTGCCAAATTTAGTGAAATCATAAGGAAAAATATTATTATTAATATGTTTTGACTTCATTATTATCTTAATACGATGTTACCGCTTTTTTGTTAACAGAAAAGCATAAATGAGGACAAAAAAAAATGATTAAAGAAACGCAGAAAATAATTTTCTTTTGGAAAAATAGTTTGATATATCCCTCATAACGACGAGGGATATATCAGCTCTAAGTGACAAAGTTAAGGGATATATCAAATTTTTTTCCCTTTCTTTTTAAACAAAAGAGTAGGTGGATAAGGATCCACTCCCGCCAAAAAAAATAATAAGTTCTTTTGTTTAAAAAAAAATGATGGACAAGAACAAAAGTAGAGGACACGTGAAAACCAATGAGATAAAAAATTTTGCCAAAAAGTGTACTAAATAAAAAGGGGGGAAAGCATTCAAAAGGAAAAAAAAAAAACGTAAGGAAAGGGGGTACCCTAACTCGTGAACCGGAAAGTATTTCGTCATTCTTAATAAATAAATAAAAAGCAATTTAATTAAATGAATGATCCTATCATATTCACTATTATTTTTTTTCATATAATTTAACCAAATAATAATTTCATATTACTATATTTCAAGTCAGATAAATTTAGATATATATATTTTGCTATTAGATATATTGAAATAAGGAGAGAGACGAGTGAGGGAAGGAGAGAACCTAGCAAGATAGAATATCACTATGTATTCAAGATACATGTGAATCAATTAAATACATGTGTTTGGGATACTAAAAATACATTCTGAAATGCAGATACATAGGGAGAGAGCTGAGCGATATTATATTGGACAAAACCAAACAAGAGAGTCAGATACATGTAAATCTAATTAGATATTACTCTCTCTGACCCTAATTACTTGTCCACTTTTGAATTGACACACTTATTAAAAAAACAATTATTGAAATAGCGAGTTTACCATTTTATCCCTACTACTTATGAAATGGGTGAATCAAAAATTTAATATTTTCAAAAGGTTCTACCTTTTTCAAAGTAATTTAATTGAGGGTATAATAGGAAAAAAAAATGTCCTTTCTTATTTTGTCAAAATGGACAAGTAATTAGGGACAACTATAAAAGAAAAAGTGAACAAGTAAATAGGGACAGAGGGAGTATATATCTTTGAACAAATTACACTTAATTCTGATCTCATGTATATGTACACGTCAAATACATGTATTCAATCTAAATTATGATGAGATTTGTAACATTAAAATCTAATATATAAAAAAATAATTTACTTCTAAACTAATAAAGTTCATATTGTTTGATCAAGAATTTATAAGTATTTTACAGTTAATTTAAAACATTTAAAATAAATTTAAATTTAATCGAACCGTAACACGATTATCAAAGGAAACTAGGGTGGGGGAACGAGATATTGGTCTTATTAGAAAATCCGAAGGTGAGTGAGTGTGTATGTGTGAATATGTCAGGAACAAAGAAAATACTCCACGCAAGTTATTTGATAAAATAATGGAATAAGTCCAAAGTTTTTTTAAAAAAAAGTACAGAAAATGTTGGCTCCCTTTTTGAGGACACTAGAAGGTGGCATCCAATGTTTAAATTTTGAATACTTTTGTTTTATTTTATTTTATTTTATAGATAGAAATATCTTTTCAAATTGAGTACTACTTCCGTATAGTAATAAGTTATCCTTTAACAATATAAAAATTATTCTATGATGTTTGTTGAACATGCTATATTTTGATAAAGAATATTAGTTAGTTTTGTAAATAGTGATCGTATAATTTTCTTCTAAAGGTTTGGTAGAGTCAGGACGGAATAAAGGAAAATCCAATCTGTTAATATTTTTTAACATAAAATTTTAAAAATAAATAAAAACTTTTAAATCTCGTAATTTTAGACTAAAGATATACTCCCTCCGTCCACTATTGTTTGTCAAGTATACTAAAAATAATTGTCCAAAATTAATTGTCAATTTAAACAATCAAGAAACAATTAGTCACTTTTTTCCAATTCTGCCCTTAATAATTACATAACTACTAATTTCATAAAATAATCATTTTAAAGTTACAAGACTGCTTTAATGTGAAAAAAGTTACTTTTACCGTTTTCAAAAAGTACAAACCATTTGAATAATGATTGATAGTAGGATTATATTAATCAAATTGCACATTATATTAAATTTTTCTTAAGAGTTGTGCATTATCTTTATCTTGACAAACAATAGTGAACAGAGGGAGTAATAAAATTACCAAAATGATCTTTAATCTTATGCCGTTAAACTTGTGTGAAAGAGTGAATCTATAAAAAAGAAAGAGAAATGTTTTTTATAAATAAACTAAAAAAGAAAAGTAGAACAAACAGGTAGGAATAATAAAATTTTAATTTGTAATAATTTATTACAAAAGTTACTGTTTTTATTTTCAATTAATGTGTTTCAAGAAAATTAACCAATAACCACAAGTAACTAATAGTTTGATTGGTCAAAATTTAAAAGAATACATTGATCATTTCTTAAATTTGTCAACGTACTAATTGACTATATTAAAAAGAAATCAATCTACTTCTACTCTTTCAAGTAGTATATCAAAAGAAAAAAAAAATCTTTTTTTACCATTATATTTATAACATTAATTACTAAATCTCCAACTTATTTTTAATTCTTTTTTTTACTAATGAAGTGTAATAGCCCAACGGTAAATAAGTATCAAAGCAAATCTCGTAAGAAGACAATCAACACCAACAACATGTTAGCTTCAGCTCATAAGTGAAATCTAGAGAAAACCCAAACTATAACGTTACATGATTTTAAAATAAGAGTTTAGCACCATAGTACTAATAAGAAAATGTGTGCAATAGTAATGATAAAGTTCACAAACTTGAGCATCATAAAGGCACACTAATTCCTCAAATCCAAAGCACTAATTAAAACAAACTTAAATAACAACATGATAACATTACTTAAAATTTCAAATCTATTACAACCTAAAACCCAACCCCCCCTCAACTCCAACAATACTACTAACATTACTAGTCCTTACAAATTTCCCAATCAACCTAAACAAGATCATAATTTTCTCCACCATTTTAATGGCAGAAAATGACCTTTAGTTCACGCGGAGACGAGCATTCGTGCATGAGTGAAGGACTGTCATGAGCATATGTAAATGTAGCAGGACAAGCATGCTTAAAAAACTGTGAATAACTCGATGGCTTACAAGTTTGTGGACTATTATAATGATTCCTACAACAAAACTCATCAGTTTTAAAAACTTCACAAGCACTCTTACAACCAACAACAGGGCCATGACCATCATGTGACCTAAATTGCAAAACTGCTGGACATGACTTTGACAAATTTTCCTTGCACCCAACAACTGGACACACTCCTTTACCTTCATGTGGAGTTACCGTAAGAGGAATATTGAAACCATCAACGAGACTAACACCGTAAGTAGAAAAATCAGCATGTCCATGATGCAGAACAAACTGCGCCAATGTAGCTGGGGGGGCCCCACCGAGTCCACCGCACTCGATTCGGCCGCCGCAGTCTCCTGTGGCGCAGTAAAATTTGCCGTGTTCATAAGTGCAGCCAGTACGAGCCCAGACTCGGCCGGACCAGTGAGCGGTGGGTGCAGGGAAAGAGCGGTGGGTAAGTGAGTGAAGGGTAAATCCACCGCGTTCGAGTACAGGGTGACCGGCATTGGGTTGAATTGCTGGCCAGATGGTGTAAGGACAGTTGTTAACTAGGGTTAAAATGAAATTAGGGTAGGTGGCTTGTGAAAGTGCTAAAAGGGTGAAGAGGAGAGAGAGGGGAAGTAGAGTTTTGGTAGAAGAAGCCATGGTTAATTTTGATTTTTGGTGTGGGAAATGGAAGGTGGTTAAAGGGTGTTTATATAGAGGCAAGTGTAGTAGAGAGATTAAGGTGTGTTTGGTACCAAGGAAATGTTTTTTTTTTTAATAAGTAAAAAAGTTTCTTAATTAATTTTTATATATAGTAAATAAAAATATATACTTTAGGCAAATAGTATGGATGATATAGGTTAATGTAGCGGGTTTGAACGGAAATGAATTCAGAATTTTTAGAGTATATGGTGTCTACTGTCAGAGGAGAAGCGGGGATTAATAGTTTGGGGGTTTTAAATTTCGTTAATAATCATCAATTAATTTTGTTATGGGCTCACATATTAATATACACAAATATTTATAATTTTCTAGTACAAATATAGGATCTACAGAAAATCAACTAGATTTATCCGAACTTATGAACCACCACCTAGTTACGCCTCTGTCTACTCTTCTTGTCTAAGTAAAAACTTGATCTTCAATCAAGTGCACTATTTAGTATTCTCATAACATGACTGTTAGCAGATAAAATATCTGATTTTACGAAAGATCACAATTTCACATGTTTCATAATTAAGGTTATAAGTTCATCTATTGTTGTGGGTAGGGCTGTTCATGGTTATGGTTAAACAATCTAATTGAACTGCAATCCGAATCAAACCGATTAAAAAAATTGATATTTGGTTGGATTTGGTTAGGTTTGGATTTTGAATTTTGAAACCCGATATTATTTGGTTTGGTTTTAGTTTTAAAAAAGAATATCCGCAAAAATAACCAAATCGAACTGTTAAATTATATATATATAATTTATAATTATTTATATATTATTCATAAATAAAATATAAATATTTTATTAAATTTTAATTAATTTAAGTCTTTAACTTTATTATTTTCTTAAGCCCAACACTTAAATTTCAGCCCAAGTATTAAAATCCTAATTCTAACTCAACCAAAAATTTATTATTTAAGTGATTTTTACATTTGGAGCACTGATTTTATTTTTTTTGGTTTATTAGGAAAAATTCTCAGTTGTCACAACATGCAAGATTCAATATGTTATATATTTATCCAAGATAACTCTGCTAATATTGATTTTCCACTATATAAATGCATTGCTTTCTCTTTTTAGATATAAGTCTTCTAACATTTTAATGAGTTTTTCTAGTCTTGTTTCAATTATTCTATGACTAGAATTGCTTAATAAAATTTACAATAGCTTTTCTGATTGTTTATGTACGATGAATTCGTGTCTATCGAGATGCATATGCCCTCAAAAAACTATATATTTTCAAATCGAAATAACAAAAAAAATTGAACCAAATCAACAATAATCAAATCGACGATTATTTTGTTGATTTGGTTTGATTTGATTTTAGAAATTTAAAAACCGATTAATTGTGGTTTGGATTTGGTTTTAACCAATAACCGATCCAAATCAATCATGAACACCCCTAATTGTGGGCATGATGGACGAGGGTGGAATGTATTAAGGGTTGAAAAAGACCGTCAATATGAAATGTCACTATATAATTTATTTTCTTTGCTTTACTATGCAAATCATTTTTCTTTATTATAACGAATTGAATTTCTAGTTTAAAAGTTTTTCAAAAGAAAAAAATTATCCACCAGACATAAAAGAGAGAGAAAAAAAAATTCCTTCTAATAATACATAGATTTCTTTGTAACTTATATTTATATTAGTTATATGTATTTTCTAAATTATAAATTAAATATCATGTTAATTTTATATATAAACAAATTTTTTTTTTAAATCTATTTATCAAATATCTAGTTATCAAACTATCCACGAGAGAATGACGGAATTGTCCCTGGTTTGTTTTTGTTCAAAATAGAAAGATAATAGCAAAGGGAAAAAGAAAAGTTTTTTCCAGCACTGGTTCAGAGACACGTTGTTTTTGTCCTTGAACACTGCAACTTTTCTGACTCGGAAAAGATTCAACTTTTTTTTATGGAAAAAGTAAAGATATCAAAGTTGGGAGTATTTTTTTATTTCTAAATTTGATATTTGGAATCTATATTGAAGACTCGATTAAATCTAGATCACGCATTATAAAATCCATTTGAGAATAAGGCTTTTAACATAACTTTCTCTATATTTAGAACTCAAATCTAAAATATTCGATTAAAAATAAAACAATCTCATCAGTGCACGACAAGTCACGCTCATTCTTTCTCAAAGTTGATATTGATCTCCACTTTGTCTAGAAGAAAAGGGGTGAGAGACTACGACAATTTTTACTTTAATCCTAACTCATTTTGGCTGTATGTGCAGGTTAAATTGCCTACTCATCATAAAATAATTTTTATTTTTATTGTTAAATAATATTATTTATAAATTACTTTTTAATTAATTCGATTGAAATTGAGTGATTTTTAAGTGATAAAAAATAAAAAATTATTTTCTATGTTCTACATTTTAAAATTAAGTGACTTTAATATTATAAAAAAAATAGAAAAAAAGTGATAGTTTTGTGATAAACTTCAAAATTGGATGATTATTGTTCAAATTTTGCCTCTCCTATTTAATTATTCTTTTTCATTTTATATATTTCATTTTGCGTAAGCATGAAATTTAAGAAAATAATAAAAAAATTATAATGGATTTTTTTTCTTCAAAATTTTACCAACTTAGACTTACTATTAAAAAAGTTTATGTAATTAATTTCAAAGTAACTTGATTGTGGAAAAAATACTTTACATTACTAGTGTATAAAAAAATAGTCCTAATTTAATGTCATGCTTTATAGTTATCTGAGGCTAAAACTTATCCAAAAAAAAATTCTTCATTTTTCACTTAGAAATAAAAAAAATTCTCCTTTCATATTTGTCCAGTTTACATTTTATTTTATTTTCTCCATTTTTCTCTCTTGTTAATTTGTTAACGTTCACATATTCCCCGTGTTGGCAAGTACACATGTTGCTCATTCTTTTAGGGTGTGTTTAGTACTATATATAAAAAAATTTGACAAATAAAAAAAAATCAAGTTTCATAAATCGTATTTCACGTGAGTTGTATCACCTACTATCTTCATCTCCATCACTTTACACCCATTAACTCCATCTCCACCAGTACCCTACATGCTTAATTACCTTCACCCTACTTTACATCGTGGATTATATACAAAAACTTTTGAGATACAATAATATTTATTTTTTTGTATATGTAATGCAAGAAAAATCAAAGAATCTTCTTTCCAAACTTACTCGACATACAAAAGAAAAGACGAAAGATGTTGAGAAGTAAATAAAAATTAAATTTACTTATTTTCTTAAATTTGAATTTTTAAAGATAATGGAGATGGATATGACAAGGTTATTGATTAGTCCTAAACTGAAAATGTAACAAAGAAAAGGAGAAAATAGTTTAATTTATTTATCTTATTTTTATTTTTTGTTTTTATAAAAATAAATTCTTTCCTAATTTTTACAATTCCTTAAAGATGCACAATGAAAGACTACTTTTGTTATATATATATAGTGTAAAATTACAAAATTCAAAATATTATTACATTATTAAATTTCATGTATACAATTGAATTAGATGAATAAATTAAAACAGATAGAGTATATATAAAGTGTCAAAAAAGATAAAAAGAATGGGAAATGTTTGCAAGGAATATTATCCTAGTTTCCGCATATCCCAATAAAAGAATCCTTCTTATGTCTCATCACATAAAGTAAAGTTAAAATATCTAATATATAATAATGGTATTATTGATATGTACCTACTTACTCATGTAAAAGGTGTATGATTGAACTTTGATTTAAAAAAAATAAATAAAAAATTCAAAGAAAAAAGGTTGTAAAAGTTTTTATTCCGAAAATCGAAGAAATTTTTGAATTTTCATAAAAACAAACATATTTGAAATTGATTTAGTTTTATTTGTAAGGAGAATATAACATTGTTGTAGAGCTCTTTATGAAGCCATTTACAAGTTAATCAACTTGTAAATTGATTGGCATACCATCAAATTCATTATTGAAACAATTTTATGTGCCTAGTTTGAGATGAACTAGCTTGTTAATTTTATTTTCTAGCAACTATCAATAAAATTTAGTTTTTTTCGTAATTTATAATTTTCAAAATTACCACTCGGACTTACTATAAACAATTTCATGTAATTTGTTTCTAGATAATTTGATTATGTAAAACAATTGTTTATGCTGTTTAGTGCATAAAAAGACGGATCTAACTAGTTGTCACGTTGATAGTTATCCAAGGCTAAAACTTATCTAAACCAATCTTTTTCCATTTCACAGCTAAATATAGAAATGAAAAGATTCTACATTTTTAATGATAATATTTATTGCGATAAAAATATTTAGCTAAAATTGATTTAGAATATTGTATTTAAAGTAATCTTAAAGTCTTTAGAGAAATTTATATTAAGTATTGGTGATAAATATCATATTATATTATTATCAGTTTATCACTAAATATAATACAACATTAATTATTAAATAATTACAACAAAATTCTTTATTTATTATACATTTTACTTTATTTTGCCCACCTTATCTCTTTTTCTAAAAACTTTCCTACGGCGGATGCACATTATAGTATCAAATTTTTTTGAATTTAATATTTTAAATTTATAATGTATAAATTCATATATAATTTAATTAATAATAATTAATATGCTTTAACTCATAATTTTTAAAATGTTAATAACTTCAGTGTTAAACTCTATAAAATTCTAGATCTGTCACTACTTATTAGTTACTATCACATAATATATGACGATACAATTAGATTTTGACACTTTGCAATCTCCATGTCCCTCTTCTTTTTCTTTCAAAAGTTTGAGATGATATATTATATATTTTTTTAAAATAAAAGTTTGTACCAGCTAAGCTGTTAAGTTGTAATAATGGTAGGTACAATTACAATTTAAAGATGATGGAAATCATGGAGATTGAAAAATCAGGCTCTTAGTATCAATTAGTTTGGAGACGATTTATACACTCAAAGTTATGTTCTTTGAGTAATTA